AGAATTTGAATTATAAATGTACTGCCTCAGATCATCTCTGATCTCTCAGGATTTAAAAAAATCTCAATCAGAATTTCCAATCACGTTTACAATGAAAGTGTTATTTGGTTGATCAGATCAACCATGCTGGAAGCCAAACACCTCCATGTTTCAGTTAATTATTCTATAATAACTACTTTTAGTAGGATCAGTAAAAATGATTGTTTAATAAAATGATAATCAATTAGTTCACTAATGGTTTTGACTTGGAAGTAGAGGTCTGTGCTTCATCCACAAACTTTTTATCTTTTAACCATCAAACTTGCATCAAATCTACACTTCAGTATCACGATGAAGCCAGATTTGGCTTTGGACCGATTATTGAGTAGCTGGAGCCTTTTCCGCGTCATTTTAATTGTTTTACTGCTCCAGGTATCATTCAGAGGAGATTGAGCCACTTTAAGCAGCGCTGTTAGACTGTTTCGGTCTCTGACTAAATTCTGCCACAGAGTGAAAACTAACGCTGGTGAAGATTCTCAGTCATCCAGGTCATAGTCATTGCGAAAAGGTTGTAAAAATAAAGCCTTGTTTTGGCTTTGAAAACATGTAAATTGAACCGAAAGAACAGCTGTATAAAACCTGGAACTAAACGCTATTTCTGACAATTTGAATTGAAAAATCTTCCTGGATGGAAGAGAAACGTCTTCAAACTTGGAAACAAAGTCCAGTGGATTGATTTTTAACTTTCTTGGAGTGAAAACTAACCCAACATCACAAAGAATAAATACTTTTTTTTAAGAAGGTGAGCCTTGGGAAGTCGGAGGGAGAAAACACAGAAAATCTTTTGGAAGCTAAAACTCTAAAAACACTTTAGCACTTGGAACATTCTAATAAAAGGACAAATTGTTTCCCCAAACTTTCATTGCAGCGAACCCGCCAGAATAAAAGCACCGGCCTTTACGATTTGCTCACACCAGTCGATCGGACAGCGACCAGAAGGCGGGGCAGCATCGGATTAAAGAAATCTGTCAGAACAGAAAAACTGATCCGACAGCTGCCGATAGCGTTTGCATAAAAAGAGATGAGGGGTGTTTTATTTTGAAAATCCAAATGGGAAATGAGGTAGGCCTGAAAGGGTTGGATGAAGCATTGCTGGTGTTTGCCAAATGAAAGTGATCAAACATCATCATCATCATCATCATCATCATCATCATCATCATCATCATCATCATCATCACTCCAGTAAAATACTGCATCAAATATAGCTTACCAAAGGTAATCAATATATAGATTTTTTTTTTATATCTATCAGCAAAATAAAAGCCTGTAGAAAATAAATTAAAAAAAAGGATTTCTTCTATTAATTCTTTTGAAAGTGCGAGCGAGATTATTTCACAGCAATGTGCAAACGGATGTGGTTTCCCTACATTCTAACCCATGTTTTTCCCACTGATGGCGGGATGCTAAGTGGTTGCTAGGAGACAGAGTTGTAGACAGGCTGCCGACTTTGCACAGGACGTCCCGTAGGGTGCTCAGACTTTGGCTAGACGATGGTTTCGGCTCTGAGAGGTTAAGACAGCGACTTAAGGCAACACTTGGCGGCGCATCGAGTCTTCCGGCTCTCATCGGATGTCCCCGCCCCTCCGGCTGCAGCTCAGCAACGTTCGGACCTAAACGGTTCTTATTCTGGGGCTGCAGAGGACCTCTGCCTGAAAAGCAGAGAATCGTCGTCTGAAACGTTTCTGGTTCTGATGAACAGAACCGTTTTTGAAAGGGAACAAAACCTGAGCAGAACCGACAGAGGCGGGGTCGAGGAGAGGACCGGAGGGTCGATGAGGCAGAGTCCGAAAGGATCATTGGCAGCCTGCAACCCTGTTCTCAGATCAGGACGGACATCAACCTTTTGGCACTCCAAATAAACGAGGATAGGCAGTAATACAGTAGAACATCTGACCCGATCGGATCCCAGACCAGAACCTCCTGAGATGATGAACTTCATGCATAATCAACTTATTTTTAATGTTTCCTTCAGTCTGTAATTTTCTTTCAGATTTTGTCATTTTGAAATCTCTATAAATCCAAAAAAGAAGACCAGGAAAATAATACAAAACTTCAAACTTAGCTCATTAGTGAGTTGTGCTTTTTTCAGAAGACGCTGAGGTCACCATACGTGGCCCCCAGGGGCCCCTTGGTGCCCGTGGGCAGCACGTTGGTGACCCCTCCTTTAAGCTAATAGAAGATTTTGGATCTTCTGCTTGTTTTCATGTATTTACTATCAAAAATAAATCAATGGAAAAAAATTTGTTGGGTAAAAAAAAAAAATATAGAAAATATTTTGTAGGACCAACAAGCTTCAAACAAAAAGTACAAAAAAGTTATCTTATCACATCGTTGGTTCTGGTCCGGTATCTGTTCTGGGATCAGCTGTTCGACGGGAAGCGAGCGGCGCTCCCTGACACGCAGGTCCGCTTTCAGCCGGCGTGGTGCATTCAGGGGCGGTTCAGGAGGTTTCTGCTTCGGTCCTGCAGCCAAACACCAGAAAAAAACTAAAACTTTTCCAAACCCAGTTCTGGTGTCTGAGCTCTGGACTGGACCGCTGACGAACGTTGGGGGGATTCAGTCGAGGCGTTTGTCTAGAACTCTGTCTGTCCCGACAATCAGCAATGATCCAAACTCTGCCCGCTGAAGGATCTGATACCGGAGGATCCCGCGGACAGAGAGTCCATCATGACTGTTTATCGGGTTCTGGTTTGACCCGGCCGACCATCCGACCCAAGACTGAACTGAACCCGTCACCCTCACAGGCAGACGGAGTCCGGACAGACGCAGAACTTTCAGCAGCGATCCCAGAGGAATCTGGGAGAGGGGAGTGTAAAGCTATGGTTGCTATGGTGACCAATCAGAGTCCAGCTGATTTAAGATGCCTGGAACAGGAGGCGAAGGTGGAGATGCAGGTCGGCCATCTTGTCTCAGTGGGATGGGCGGAGTCTGGTCTACATGACGCTCTCGAAGATGATGACCTTGTTGTCATCGGAGCCGGGGCTCAGCGAACTCAGGGACTTGATGTCAGGGGCCATGTACTCCAGGTGGTGGGGCCCCCACACAGGGTTGGTCAGGTGGGCCCAGCGCTGAAACACACAGGGGCAACTTTATCAGAATGTTAGAACCCTGGAAACTTCAGACAAACCTCCAAAAACTTCCTGTGCATTTTAATTCATGACAAAGATCAGAACATCTAGATCAGAATATCTAGATCAGAATATCAAGATAAAATCATCTAGATCAGAACATCCAGATAAAATCATCTAGATCAGAACATCCAGATCAGAACATCTAGATCGGAACATCTAGATCAGAACATCCAGATCAGAACATCTAGATCAGAACAACCAGATCAGAGCATCTAGATCGGAACATCTAGATCAGAACATCTAGATCACAGCAGCTAGATCAGAACATCTAGATCAGAACATCCAGATCAGAACATCTAGATCAGAACAACTAGATCAGAACATCCAGATCACAGCAGCTAGATCAGAACATCTAGATCAGAACATCCAGATCAGAACATCTAGATCGGAACATCTAGATCAGAACATCCAGATCAGAACATCTAGATCAGAACATCTAGATCAGAACATCTAGATCGGAACATCTACAGAAGAGGTTTTAATCCAGTTTGACAGACTGAATCTGCTGCCAGATTGACTTTAACTTTGTCCAATTGATTCCAGAACAGTTGGCGTTCATGAACACGTGTCCAACAGGACCCTGAGCTGTTAGCGAGGTCGGCGGCTGACCTCTCTGAAGGTTCCTTTAGCTCGGAAGAGCTTGTAGAGGAGACTGACGGGGATGCAGAGCATGGAAGACAGAGCCAGACACCAGCCGATGGCCTCGCCCCACCACGGGTACACGTACACGTTGTTGTAGGTTAAAGGCTTGTAGTTCACCAGGTGAAACAGGAAGATGCCCTGAAGTGTCAGAGGACTCAGGTTAGCAGAGCTCTTAAATGGAACTAAGGAGGGACAGAAAGCTGTGAAGGACTCACCATGCAGACACACGGAGTTATGAAAGACCAGCACCACTTCATCCAGGGAAACGGCCGGTAGCCAATCATACGAGCCACATCATCCATGAACCGGTCAGCACCTACAGACACAACAACAAAAAATCATTTTAGCTGCCAAAGTCCCTCTGGATGGTCAGTTTTAAACTTCAGGCACTTGTTGGGTTCCCCCAGACTGTTTTCAGCCTTGTTTGACTAAAATAACTCCATCGATTTTTATTACACACTGTGACAAGTACAGAGCAACGAAATTAACTCTCTGCATTGTGCGGCGCCCGCCGTTAATGTCCATTGCTAGGGACCCAGACTGGCAGTCCATGGAATCCTAAGGTTCGAACTCAGAAGCTCAGGATTCCAACCACTAGGCTGCCTCTCCCCGACGCGGCATTAGCATGAAGGGTCCTGCCTAAGGACAGCTGGGATACAAACCCAGGCCTCCCTTATGCAGGACGGGTGACTAATCACTTGAACTAGCCAGCCACTTGCTCGCCGATATCTTACATCCTTCCTCTGTGGTGCTGCATGTTGGAGCATCTGCAGCTGAGAGGAACTGGATAAATATGCATGAAGCTGGGGGAGTGGTGGCCTAGTGGTTAGGGCACTGCAATTGGATCCCAGAGGTTCTGAGTTCAAGCCCCCCTCCCACAGACTGCTACTGCCACTCCCTGAGACCCTTAACACCACATTGCTCCCCAGGCGCCGCACAATAGCAGCCCACTGCTCCCCAAATGGACAAGTATTCTATACCTTCACTCTGAAGCTGTTGCAGCTTCTGTGCACAAAGCAGCGCCTCTGCAGATCCTTCCTCCCAGCTGCTGTTTTTATGCTCACTGCTGTTCAAACAGGTCTGGAGTTTTCAATGCTGTCAGCTTTTATCTGTAAATGGGCCGCTGTTCTTTTAAACTTAAACATTTTCTATTAGTTCTCAATATTTCATCTTCTATAAACTGCAGTGTTCTATTCAGAAATTTAGAAAGGGAGTACACTGGAAAAACGATCTAAAAATGAGCAAAAATGTCTTAAATTAACTGCATTTACTCTTCATTTGAGTAGATAAATGAGATAATTTGCCAATGGAATTAGTATTTTTACTTTAGATGATATGCACTTGAAATAAGACAATGCAATTGTGTTTTCTTATTTTAAATGTAAATTATCTTGTTCCATTGGCAAAGTGTCTCACTTACCTCCTCAATTCAAGATAAAAAGCACTTATTTTAAGAAAAAA